TCTTACTCATTGAGCCCCTGGGGATCTCAATTCATGAGAGCAAGAAGCCCTAATTCCTGAGAACCTCCCTATCTCTTTGCAGAGTTTATTAGAAAAACCTCATCCCTTGAAGTGCTCCTATATTGCTCCCGGGATTCCCAGTATCACAAGCCAAGCCTTTATGCATTTATTTACAGGTCCACTGTAGCCAACAGTTCAGTAAAAAATTTATATATTGCTGTATATATATTGTGTATAATACTATTTACAGTATACCGAAACTGTGGGGGGAAAAGAGGGGAAAATGGGATAAAGTATTCCACCCAGTGAACCAAGGCTGTCTGCAAGAGGGAGATGGGTGCCAGTCAAAGCCTATTAGACGCTAATGGGGTTTTAATGTCCCTATACAGGGAAGCCATGGTCCCAATAAATGTCTGAAACACTCAAGGGCTTGTCATGGTCCTGTTCACTTGACGGTATTTTATGACGCACTTTGAGCCACTTGAATTTATTTTGCCGGGGAAAATCTAAAAAGCGTCGGATCAATTCGCTTTATCGGAAGCTTGCTACACTCATTGACCATTCGGGAGATGGAAAATTGAACATGAAAGCTAAATTTTCATCACCACAGAACCTGGATATATCTATCCCTGTGCCCTCAAGTGAAAGCCGGATTTTTTTCATCATAAAATTAGAATAAAAGCCTCTCTCTGCATAAAGATGTTCACCCCATTTTTAGGTGACAGAGAATGTTCAATTTTTTTGGAAATGAGGCGCATCAGGATTACTTAAAACTTAAATTAGTCTGAGCGTAATTTAAACAAAATTTAAAAAAAGGTACAAGTGTAAAAAAGTTGTAAAGGAAAAGCTTAGTTCATACTACGTTTGGAATTGAAAGTTGTAAAACTTTAAGTTTTTATAAAATTGTATATGCTTCTATATACGATGCGCACCTTTTTTTTTTTTTTGGCTCTGAATTTCGAACAGAACATTTGGTTGGTGTACTGACATAAACATGCACTGCTTGTTTGTTTTTCTTGAGGAACTCATAAATTTGGTGATAGAATTCCCTTGGCTCAGACTCATTGCTGGGATGTCAAGTTATGGAAGTGAGGGTGTCACAGAATCTGGGTCTCCAAGGGTTATACTGGTAATCCCCATGGAGTGACGGGTATTTTATTTTCTCCCCAAGTCATTTCCTTCATGGGTGTGTGATTCTCTATACAGTATGTCCTATAACCCTCAAGGGAATCCCTATACAGTATACAAATCGGGACTCGGGAGACACCAAGACCGGATCGCATTGGGTTCGTTCACGAGGTTCGGGTTTCAACCCTGCGCCAGTAGGCGTCCCATAGACTCCTAGCAGTACTTAGTTCATTTTGAGCGAACCGAAATAACAAAATGCTCCGTTCGTTATATGCACCCAAACCAAGCGTTAACACAGTGTTTTACGTTTGTTTATTTAGCCGTGTCTTCCCCTTGACGTCTAATGAGTGTAAAAGCATCCGTCGGAGGCAAGTGTCACGATTGAAAATTGCATTTGGAGAAAATTGACACGAAAATATAAATGTTGAGAAGTTAAATTGAGGTCCCATGACGACGAAATCGATAAAAATTTCTGCGCTTTCAGAATATTCTAATAATGAACTTGTATGCTATTCATGCGTGATTTCCACCGATATATAATTTTATTTCTGATTTTAAGGTTCTCTGAAAACAAATTATAAAAGGGCTAATTTTATTGATCCCTTGATTAGGACGTAATAGAGTTGACCCTCGAAAACTCGAACCGCTCTAAATCAAATGCCTCGTCTCTATTTCAAATTTTTCGAGTTCCTTTCTGAAATATTCTCGTGAAACAATAATGCATGAAAAACCTTTCCAAATCAAAGTTTTTCAACCTTCAGAACTCCATAACTCAATTAATCTGCAGGCATTTTGGCTATTGAGAGAGGAAAGAGAAATGCAATGAAAAATATAAGTTGCAAACTGGTCCAGAAAAGGTACAGGTGGTGCCTTAAAATTGGACCCTAATCTTTTGCTGGGTAAGGGTCAAATTGCAAAGTGGTCAAATTGCAAGACAATGTCCAATTAAATGTTTTATATGTCAAATTTAACATCTTGAGTCTCTCTGCAGGTTAAATTGCAGGGCAAGAGGTCAAATTGCAAGTCAATGTCTGAGCATATTTGAATGTTGAATCGCATAATGGTCAAATATTGGCATGTCAAATATTGGAATGCAATGAAAATGATGAGTTTTGTAAGGAACTGAAAGACTAATTGGGCGAATTAACCCTTGCCTTCAACTTCAGCATCATGTCAACTTATTCAAGAAGCAATTCAAGGACCAGAACATCACCAATGACAATTTCCTGTAATTTATTTCTTGTCCCAACATAAATGCTTGTTTCCCTGATAAATGGAAACCTCCCCAACCAGAAATTTATTCAGTTTTTGCTGATCTCTTGAATTTTGACTTGAAAGAGGCTCCACTGTACTTTACAACTGTACGTTTTTTCTGCTTTACTCAAATTGCATGCAAATATTTTTCCTCTGCTGATTCATTTTCAATAGCTTTGTCCTTCCTGCGCACATTTTATTCTCCTCTTTGGCATTACTTTTTTTTTTAATATAAAATTCCGCCCCGTTTGTTTATTGCGGCATTTTCCACCAGCATCCTAGAATATTTCATTCATGAAAAATCGACGGACAGGGTTGAATTCGTGTATAGAATTTCTGTGAGTAATTTAGTCTCTGGAAATTCTGCGTATGTATACAATACTGTTCTCACCTGGAAACTCGTATTGTATTCCTTGGATGGAGATCCTTGTCAACAGACGCGTTTCATTCCTGGTGGCCTTTTTTGCCTGTCGGTCGGAGGGTGAAATTCAATGCGACTGAATCGATGCCAGGGGATTTCCTCACAGCATGCATTTATTTTTCGAGTGTCGAGACTACGACTTTCATCAGCATTCAACTGCTTATATGCAAGGAGGAAAGAGAGACCTTATAAGTAAAGAAGAAGAGGGGGGAGGTGGTAACAGAGTTTTATTTATATGTTACGAGATAGATAAATGTAAAAAAAAAAAGAAGACGAGGATTCAGATCGGCACGACACCCGGGTCATGAATACCGGATCCATTTTAAAAAATAAAGAAAAGAGGCGGAAAGTCGGATTTGCAAGGGAAATGACGCTTTTGAAGTGCAACAAGTTATTCTGTGCGTCTTCGATGGAGATTTTTCGGGGATATCGCACTTGGATGCAATCCGACGAGGAAAAAGGAAAAGAAAGTCAGCTTTTT